CCTCTGGTGGTTTCCCTCCTACATTCCAGGTACCTATGAACATTCTATAACCAATATATCATGAGTTCATTAAATTAGCCAATGGAAAATTAAGAATGATAAAAATGCAGTTGTATGGTTTTATATGCATGCACAATAATTTTATCACCAGAACTGAAGAGAGGCTAGTTTTCAAGGTTGGACAAAAAAAGAGTCGAGGATTTCAAGACTGATTAAATTTTCAATTCAAACTTAAGAGAGCAAGTTCCTTGTATATTAGGGCCAAACCAGACAGAGGCCACGCCCATTAGGCTTTTTGCTTCTCACGTAGAGCATAGGGAAATTATTAAATTAACACGCAATTATCTTTATTTAAGTAATAGCTGTAACTTTTTATTCTCTATAAAAACATTAGTCAATCTTTAGCTTAGCCTGTCCTGTAATGCCGGCGATACTCAAATTTTAACGTAATTGAGGAAAGAAAAGGCATTAGTACCTTAAGTTGAGCTTATTGTTAGATGTGGCCACGGAGTCGAATTTCCGCTGCTTTACAGTTGCAAGCTTGTCAATCTCTGATATCGTGAACTAGTTCTCTAATATCACTTGTCACTATGGCTAAGCTTTATAGCATGCAGATATAGAAGAAACCAACCTGACTCATCCCCCTTTATAGGCACAAAGCATTCAGCGCCTCTGCAGACCTTCCATCCCTTTTTATCTGTTCTTCCGTCTCCGGCTGCAGCACCTGCAAAATGCGAAGGGAAAGCAAATCAAGATGCATGCGAACCATATGCAGAAATTCTTGGTGTTATACAGGTGAAGGAACTGAAGCTATGTTGATAAAATTTGGATGCGTCTTACTTGTACAATCAGAATTGAAGTCGTCAACTCCAGCCATTTCCTAACCACCTTCCACAAAACCTGTCACGGGATTAACAGCTTTCATTAATTAAATTACTTGGGATTTAAGTAATACAATATTTTGATCCTCATTTCACGTGAAAACTACAGATGCAACAGGGTATCATGGAGTAGTATAGACAATTTTAGCAGGAGAAAGAAAAGGAAACCCTATAAGAAGTGCCCAGAATGAGATCGCCATCTTCCGTGATCTTACCATAAACATATAGTCAATTGTGGACTGTCAGAAAATGGAGAAGTGTGTAGCATCATAAATGTATCGTGCAAGTTATAACTTGTTTGGCTTCTTGAAATTGGGGAACTATACCATGGTATGAATCCTTTCCAGCTACTTTCTGGAGTCCTTCAGTTCAGTTGACCCCCGATCAACAGTTTGCCCTCCTTTAAACATATGAAATGTATAACAAGTGGAACAATTTCTCTGACTTAAAACATATGAGTAGTGCGGGCCGTCATTTCGGTTAATGCTTTAATAATCTCCACTTGAGCGAAGTGGTATTAAGCACTCCAACAATGAAGAAAAATTCATGCAACGAGATGAATTGGTCGATCAAGCCCAAGCCCGCGCCCGCGCGCACACATACACATAGACACACACACAGCAAGAAAATGCTGGCAAAAGCGAGAAACTTTTACTTGTGGTCAGATTTGAGAAAGCTCTACAGAAATTTACTGGAGCCAATGGTGAGAATTTCCTGCGCATAGAGGATGGCCTGCAGGCGGATCTTCTTTCCGGTTTCTACGTGATATAAGTAGTAGTAACTGGTACATGATTTGACAGTTGAAACTATCCCATTAATTTGTTGTGCTTGCTTTTGTCCCTTTTTTTTTTTTCGTCGAGAAAGCGTCGAAGTTAGTTCTCAATTATAAATTAGATTCCTATGCAGTTTTTCTTTTCTAGATGTTAACTCAAAATTTTTTTTTTTAAAAAAAGAGGCTATAATGATAATATCTCAGGTGTGGACACATACGTCAGGTAGATCTTTTCTGATGGCAAAAAGGGTTGATATATTTTCAGTCGAATCCATAATAAGAAACTAAAAATAGTTGCTAATTGTTTTCAAATATACGTCGTTGTCGGGGATTCTAGTAACTCAAAAGGTAATCAGTCTAGCTATATATTCATAGCGTTCAACCGGGAAGTTTAATTGTCTTCTCATGTTATTAATTAATTCACTAATGTATAGTCCATGCTGTTCTAGCTAGCCAGGTGATGCACTACTACTTTCTCTCTTTGACATGATCATACTTACGAATCCTGTCTTTTGATATTAATCTTTTAGATCGCTTGCTTAGATGAATGTTATGTAAACTGGCATCTTGAAATTTTCAATAAAGGGTTAATTATGTCGCAAAAATCTTAATCCTCTTGTTTTAAATCGTCAAGAACAACCATAGATAGGCCAGCATACTACTTATGGAACCACTCAGTCGCCACCTCCGGTTCTAGAAGCGGTTATCGAAGTCTTCGATGTGCTCAGACCGACTGAACCGTTTTTCGTAAGCACGTGACTAACACCCGCATTTGACACCAAATCTGACACTTGGCAGATACAGATACTACGCGCCTAGGGTCTGTCTGACCCTATCTATGGCAGTCATGCCATTTTCGATTTGCGAGACCAGTGCTCACACCCACAGTTAACTTTCTCATCGTCGGCTTCCGGGCTCATCTTTTGACTCCCAAACTCTTCATCGTTTTGACTTAGATATCGAAGTCGTTCCATTCCGGAGAACTTAGCCCTAATTTTGGGTCTCCCCTGTTGTGCTGTCATTGCAGGTTGGAAGCTCGACTTGTCAAATTCTATCCGAGCTCTTCTTGCTCTCACGCTGCTCAATACGTGTTAATTGATATGCTAGGACCAAAAAGGTAAACGATGGAAGCTATTCATAGAATGATCACATGTAAGATTTTTCAAACTCTCACTTGTGGCGAGAAAAGTTTTAGCCTCAAGCAAATCTGGAAATAACTCTCCCAAAACCAGGAAACTTTACCAGGCACGTTTGATTTCATGCTGGTGAGCCGATGGCTATCCTTGTAAAAATAAATAAATAAAAACTCAAGTCCGTATGGACCCAAAAAAAAGCCTGAGAGATGCTTTTTAAAAAAAATTATTTTCACTTTGTATATTGAAAAAAACTTTTTATTGTAAGAGTATTTTAAAGTTTTAAAACTTCATTGAGATATTTTTAAAAATTTTTTTTATCCTCCCCGCTCCTGTCTTGCCAACCCATTTCTACCCCATCCTCCTCCTCCTCCTCCTCCTCTTCCGATTCGATGCTAGTAGCACCCCCTCCCCCACCACCATTTTTTCCCAATTAATCCGATTTTGTATGAAAACTAATCCAACAGGGCAGGGATCAAGCCGCTAAGAATTAATTTTTAATAGAAGGAGCAACAATCAACAATTAATCCAATTTCCGTATGAAATTCATGTTTTAGGTGTTTCTAATTACCATGTGATTAGAAGTGAATCTGGGCCCAATGGGCCGTGAGATCTCCCCACCCCCAGCTTTAGGTAAGTACTCAAATTTTGGCAAATTCCATAGTTGCAAGATTCCTGATCACATTCATATCGAAATGGGAGGCATTGTCTCGTGCATCTGTAACTTTATATATAATCAAGCTCTGCGAAAAACTTGAACTTGTTTGCTTCGTTTCCCCTGTTTCCGTGTTCTGTGAGAACTTGCGTTAACAGAAAATCATGCAGCAACCAGGCTACTCTCATATGCCTTACTATGCAAATCTTGATCCAAACACTCAGGCATATGCATACTACATGCATCAACAACAGAAACTACAACGGCTGCAGCAAGAAATAGAATTTCTGCGAACCCAGACTGCTCAGAATTTGGGACATCCAATTATCGATTACCGGAGATTGACTTCTTTCTTAGAAGTAGATGACTCGTTCTTAACTACGTGGAATTGGAATTGGAACCATGATGATGTTGCCAAGAATACTGGTCCAAGAAACTTCGGAAGAAGGAGGCGGATGATGTTTGAACCAGGATCGTTCTTCTCAAGCGATGAATTGCCTAAGCCGTAGCAATTTCTGCCCGCCAAGCCCAATGTGGAGGATTTGGGCATGCACAGTCTCATGCATATGCAATCAAGCTCTGCGAAAATATTAATTTTTCTATTTTTTCTTCCATTTTTTTTCGTCAAAAACTTGAACTTGTTATCTTCGTTTCCCTTGTTTCCGTGTTCTGTGAAAACTTGTGTAGCAGAAAATCGTGGAGCAACTAGGCCACTCTTATATGCCTTGCTATGCAAATCTTGATCCAAAAGGTCAGGCATATGCATACTACATGCATCAACAACAGAGGCTACAACGGCTGCAGCAAGAAAAAGAATTTATACCAACCCAAACTGCTGAGAATTTGGGATGTCAAATTATCGATTACTGAAGCTTGGCTTCTTTCTTAGAAGTAAATGGCTCGTTCTTAAATACGTGGAATTGGAACCATGATGATGTTGCCAAGAAAAATGGTCCAAGAAATTTCCGAAGAAGGAGGCGTATGAAGTTTGAACCAGGATCGTTCTTCTCAAGCGATGAATTGCCTAAGTCGTAGTAATTTCTGCCCGCCAAGCCCAATGTGGAGAATTTGGGGAATTTTGTTGTTGCTGGTTACGCTATTGAGATTCTTATGTAATTGTAAGTAATTTTCTGTTGTTGAAATTTCCCCCTTCAAGGGCTAGCACAGAACTTGTGTTATCCAACAGCAAGAAAGTGTCAGGGATTCTGTGTATTGATCGGATGTACCTCCCAGCATTGGGAGGAGGTGTAGTTTACCATAAAGATAAAAATCAGCTCTTGAAATTCGACGATTTGATGCTAAAATTTTGTGGGACACCATGTTTGTTTTATGAATATCTTTTGAGTTCCTTGAAATATGTCATCGAATTTCAGTTTCTTGGCAACATCGAGTTTCAGTGTTGACAAAGATAGAAATTGATGTTTTAAGTATTTTGCACTGCCATTGAAGAACAATATTATATAAAGGACTTCACGAAGTATCGGTCTGATTCGAGAATAAAGAGTCAATAATGCTATTCCCCACCAGACAAGAAAAACTAACTGTCTGCTATATCCACTACACAAGAATAAATATGTAGCTCTCTATATGTCTCTGTATGTATATACATGTGTCGAGAATGAATGAACAAGAGCTGTATCCAAAATTAAAAAGGGGAAAGAACTACTCCGATGACTAGAAACAGTTAGGAAATTTTACATAAAAGTATCCAACCTACCAAACTTGAATTCATTCTCACGAGGGGTTAAGTTCAAATCTAACAGCAAAGCTCTATGACTATCGCTACGGCTATTGGATTTCTGAGAACCTGACTGTGTTTCTTCGGCTGTACCATCATTACGGTGTCGTCTCATATGCCCTCCTAGAGCTTGGCCTAAAGGGAACTCAAGGCCACAGATGGAGCATTCATGCGTCTTTGGCTTAGCAGGTGAGTGATTCTGATCATGAAGGCCATCTGCAGCCACCAGCCTAGTCCTTTTGTGGCTAGCCCGGTGGCCCCCGAGCGCCTGGAACGATGAAAACTGCTTGTTACACGTTTTGCAAGTGAAAACTCGGTCCAACGACGGAGGAGAGGAAGTAGTTTTGGCCATGTTAGAGAGGAGCATCAAGCAATTGGCCATGGCGAATGCCTCGACCTCCCTATCTTCTCTGCTTCTCTTTACGGTCATCTAGTATAGTAGTACTAATTTATGTGCTCAAGAAACTGAGTAGGTCTAATGATATATATATTTCCCTGGCAGTAGCAGGACTAATAAAAGTTATGACGAGTAAAGTTTGAAGTTGTGTGATATATATACAAGGCAGTAGGCTTCTAGTAGTTGATGACAAAAGCAGGAGTGAACAACTGAAATTGCACTACGTGTGTGGTGAAGTTGAGGGAGTGAATTTTCTGCATACTTTCCCATGGTCCCTTTATTGTTTGCTTGTAAACGAAGAAATCCAATGTGCATCTAGTAAGTTTGTTAGTACTGTATTATATATATATATATATATATATATATATAAGTTTATGTGTGAATCAAATATCCTGCCTCAAAGGGAAAAAATGTAAAATGAGTAGCCGTCAGGTTTTGGTTGCTGACTGCAACTGGAAACTGATAAGGTAGGTAACGGTCTGAGTCGGTGGCTGGGAAAACTACAGTAGAGTAATAGTTTTCCTTCAGGGGTTTGTTTAACAAATCTAGAACCTTTGGCAGATTTATCTTAAATTAACTGACGAGTGTGGCCGCGTGGGGACTGGGAAAGTCTCAAGTCTAAAGAATACTTCTTCATTTTTATTTTTTTTTGTGAAAAAATTTGGATAGATTAATCACAGGCCAACACTTAGGAGGACTGCTACTTTACTTCCACCTAGAACGCGTGGAATGAAGGTATTGGTTGACTGCTTGACTTTTTTTTTTTTACTTTCTGGGAGTTTTCCTTGTTACCATGAATGACATTCTCTGTATTCTTCATGTACTTCTGTGTTGTTTGGAAGAAGATTCTGGACTGTGATTTTCGGAGAAAAATTTTTATGTTTTCATAAATATATTTTTCAGTTATTTTTTTTTATCTTATATATACCAAATTACTATAGTATATTTTTTGACAAAAAAAATCCTAAAAATAGCAATTCAAATGGACTCTAATCTTTCCTATATTTAATAATGTATATATTGTCAGTTTTGGATAAATGATAATTATGTAAAATTTGAATTTGAACTCCGATTTTTGCATATATATTATAGATCTAACGATGATACTGTATACACTATCAGTATATATAAGATAGAGATTATTTCCTCGAATGATTAATACACTTTACGACCATTTTTTTATCTCACATATATTACATTAAAAAAGTATTACAGTAGTTTTTCAAAAAAAATTATTCCAAACAATCTATACATTTTCCAAACACATATAGAAGAGTAGTGTTACGATCAGCAATTGGTGTGCCGTTGACAAACCGCTCTTTCTGTATTTGGCTATTTTCAAACCCTTAGAGCTAGGGGTGGGCAAAAAACCCGGTTCGATCCGAAACCCGGCTAACCCGATCCGATCCGATCCGAAAAATAGGATATCCGATCCTATTTTTCTTAGCGGGGCAGACACTGGTCGGGTACCCGCAAAAACGGATACGGATACGGATCAGTAAAATAAAAACCCGCGGGTACCCGACCCGCAGGATATATTATCTAAATATTAAAAAAATAAGGGTTCATTATATAATTTTATAATTTTTAATCCTAAGTGTAAGTAAAGTGGTTCACAACCTCATATTTTAATCTCATATGATCCGCCTCTCCTCATTTTGTCTAAAAAAAGCGAATATTCTTGGCGAAATCTGAACCAAATGAATAAACAAAGAAAAATTTGTGAAACTCTATCATAAAAATTGTTCGTTCCTTTCATCCTTTTTCATTTTTATTTTACTTCCATCGATCTTTCCTACAAATTTTTCATCAATTCAATCAAGAATTTGTGTTTGGAGCTCCAATTTTTTGTTAGCTAGATAATTAAAACATTTGTGTCTTTCATTTATTTATTTATTTTATTGCAATTGTGCCTCTTAAATTTGTCTCCTTTTATTTTAGTGCAAGAAATTTATTTTTCTTTTTCATCATCTTTAATGCAACAAGGTCTATTCCAACGATGTAAGAAAGTTGGGGAAAATTTTTCAAGATTATTTTGGTTATACTTTCTTCACAAATTATTAGCTCTGTTCAATTCTTTTTCGGATTTGATTCCACAATCGACTCATTTTGGATGCAATCTTGTACCATAACATCCTTAAGAAAGTTGAAAAAGTTGTCATATACTTATTATCCTTGTGTTTGTTATATTGTAGAAGGATGAAATGCGTGAGAATGGTGATGTACTCAAAATTATTATAAAATTTCGTCTTATCTATTAGATATTATAATTGTAATATGTACTAAATTTATGAAATCAGTTTGATTATTGGATGAAATATGTGAGAATGGTGATGTATGGATTTTGATTATAATATCTCTACCAATGTTAATTGGAAAGCATATTTTTTTTTATTGGAAAACATGTTGATATTAAGTGAAAAATATTTTTTTATTGAAAAATAAATTTTTTTTAGGAGCGGGTACCCTATGACCCGCCCCTTTTTTTCGGGTACCCGAATAGCGGGTACCTGAAAATATTAGGAATGGGTTAGGGTCGCAAAATGGCTGATCCGATATTTTAGGGTCGGGTCAGCCAAATCTTGTTAGGGGCGGGTACCCGACCCGTGCCCACCCCTACTTAGAGCACAAGTACAACTGCACAAGCAGAAGTCGGTTAGAATTATTTATTTTGAAAAATATTATTTACACATCATTTTTTAATTATTTGTCCTTCCATAATTTGTTTTATCATACAATTTAATAAATAAAAATTATATAATTAAAATGATAATAATATGTGTACCAATCTATGGTAATAAGCGGCGGGGAGGAGTGGAACGTCGATACAAGTTACGTACGCGGTGACCTTTTCTAAGCCGAAGCTTCGTGTTTAATTCATAGCTTTAAGGATGTGACTTTTTATCCAAGTCTAATTCTTGCTTACTCTTGGAGCTTTCCTACGATTCGGGACCTCATTTCACACTTGCCTGGAAGTAAAATTTAATGGATAACAAAAATAATAACAAGAGTTCAGGTCACAATCGAGCCACGATGTTGAATTTGTTGCCGACTAATATTCCACTTCTACACGTGGAAATTCTTGTGTTTTTGTACAACAATACATTCACATAACCAACGGATTATTCAATGCACACAGTCTCAAATTTAACAATTTCATTTGCCCTCTATGAATTTTAAAAATTTTATTTATATTAATAATTTAACCGTAAGAAGTTATTATAATATACATTACTTGCCCTCAAGCTTGAGAATTTGGTATCATGTAGAAATGTTTTTTATAGTTTACTTTTATCTCAGTAAATTTTCAAAAATCTTAAATCAGAAACAGAAGTGTGAATTAGCCTAATTAACAATCAAATGCTCAAGCTTGTCTATCTATGTTAAAGAGTTTAAAATTGTAGTGAAATTTGACTCGTTTATTAATCAAACTAAGCGATGGTTCGAATTTAGCTGAGGGACCAAACTCAATGATCTCTTAGCAATTCGAGCTCAAATTGAGTAGCTTGGTCCTTTTTTTGATTTTATTTCCAAATATAAAATTTTTAACCTAAAAATTTGGTTGCTGCCAATGGGCATATTCCATGATGTCAAGCAGAAACTTTGGTGAAACCTTTGGGAAACTTTGTTCACGTTACATGAACATGTGTAGCACTTAATGCATTTGTCATCATCAGATGAACCTATGTGGATTGTAAAACGTGTATTTTGACTTTTCATTTTGTTATTAACGGATAAATTTAAATTAGTTACGCACGTTCTTTAATTGGCGGGTTGCCAATCACTTTCTGTTTTTTTTTTTAATTACAATGATAATATTTTTATAATATAATCTATCCTAATCTAAGGGGAGAGAGAGTTGGTGACAGTTAAATCACCATTAGAGAGAGCCACTGAAGGTAATGACAAATTTGATGGGAGGTAAGAATTGAACTCTGACAACTTATGTCACTTAAGTTCTTGGTGGTGGGCTGGTGGCTCCAATGACTTTTTGTTAGCTCGTGCATTTTTTGTTTTCGTACATCTAGCACTAAAGCCAAACTATTATTTTCTCCGAAATAGCTTATGCTTGAGCTTTATGGTTTCATCAAACAAATTAAGCTTGGTTTGTTTTCTTTTTCTTTTTCTTAAGAAAGACTTCTAGCCGATAGGGGAATCGGGAGTGTATAATAAAAGTTGAATAGGATTTCATGATCATCTAATTGATATTCCTGCCGGTTAAATTAGATTTTGGTAGTATTAAGCTTGGCCTTGGAAGAAGAAATACTTGGAAACTTGGGTTAATGCTCAGCCTCTACTTTGCTTGTGTTAATGGGATTAAATGATGTCCAACAAGCACCCGAAAAAAAAAAAATATATATATATATATAGAACTCCTTGTGCATGAAATCACATTTTTGCTTTGAAAGAGTAAATATTTTGTATACTAAAGACCTAGTAATTAGTCGAGTAATGTGGCTTCACTGGCTTAAGACATTAAATAAGAAACAAAGTTTTGCTTTATAAATTCAAGTTTTTTGTCAAAATAATGCTCTTGCTAAAAATATTCCCAATGTTTCTTAATAGGAAAGTTCTAGTCTAGTTTATATAGTTTCCAACATGAACTAAAAATTAATTTTTTTTTATTATAGAGGCACAAGAAGATTGCATAACTTTTATAATTTCCTTATAATATTTAAAATAAATTCTGCCATTATTGACCTTGCTATTATTGGTCTCTGAATCACATTGGGAATATTTTTTAGCAAGAGTGTTATTTTAGCAAAAAAAACTCTCCTAAATTCTATATCTTGAATTTGAAAGAATGTTTCTCGAAATAAGTGGAGCTGAGCTTTGTTCTATACATTTCATTTGCCAACCAAAAGTTTATTATTGCAAGAACATTTGATTTGTTAGCGTACTTATACCTCGTTACATATATCTATGTTGAGATTTTGTGGAAGACTAGTTAAAGTTGAGCTAATGGCTTCGTGGTTTTACTTAGAACTTCCAACTTTTCTACACCAATAAATCAAAAGCCTCGTCTGCACTCTCTAATCATTTCTTTGAATTTATTTTGCGCTTAACATATTTTTCAGAGAAATAAAATAAAATAACTCCACGGCCACAAATCAAACCAAACCTTACTCATGGGTCCAAACCCTAAACACAAACAAAAATTGGCACTGGCCACATCTATCTTTGTGGACATGCAACGTGTGGACAGTGGCTCTTTTGCCATTCAAAATATATTAACTCAATCTCACCGCATATTCAATAATGCTTAATCATTCATCCAAATCTAATTCGACGAGAAGGGGATGCAATATCCATTTTATCTTATAATAAGGAGGAATCCAAAGAAAAGCAAAAGAGCAAAATTCATATTGTGCTCCAAAACTTGGTATCATAAAATAATAGCCCAGTATGTACACAAGTACCTTTATTTTAACCAATGTAATGAATTGATAACCAATTTTTTTTTTAAGAAAAAAATGAAACAAATGTTAGACATCAATATGTGGACGAGTTGAATGGAAGAATTCAACGGAGGGGTGCCTTCATCAGTTGCCGCAAATCATTCTCGAAAGGCGACAAGTTCAAGTCCAACCCAAAAACTCTCTTGCTACTATTCGACCTCTTCAGGACTGGAACCGCGACCTTCCGACCGTGTGATTCATCGATTTCACGCCTTCCCTCCAACATGGCAGCACGATGTCGTCTCATATGACCCCCCAGAGCTTGTCCCAAGGGAAACTCAAGTCCGCAAAAGGGGCACTCGTGCTTCTTAGGCTTCCGCGGCGAATTGCTGGGTTGAGTGAGAAGTTCCGCCATGAGTTTAAGCTTCTTGTGACTTGCCCGGTGGCCGCCTAGCGCTTGAAACGTGGGAAATTTCTTGTTGCATGTCTTGCACTCGAAAACACGACCCGATGGGGTTGCCGCCTGATCGGCTGCAGCAGAAGTGGTAGCCTCCCCTACTCGAGAAAGAAGCATCAGAAGATTAATGGCCGCGGTTTCTTCTACGGTCTCTGCTGCTGGAGCTTCCTCTCTGCTTCTCTTCACCGTCATGGCTACGAATGTATGAGTATAGTTTCTTTTCTTGATGAGATAATTTAGGTGCAGAATTGGATATGTATATAGACTTTGTAGGATTGCTACGGATTTATGACTATGGTTTCCTTCTTAGGTGCAGAATTGGATGTGGAGATGTAAGAGTGTAGAGAGCTAGCAAGAGTAGTATCAAGTCTGGCTGTTAGGTTTTTTTTGGATGCGAGGAAAAAATGGGAAGTGAGTTGCAAAGTGGAGTTTTTGTGCGATATATATAGGTTAGGTTAGTAAGGTTTGTGAGTGAAGAGTTTTGGGATGCTTTGACCTCAATTTTCTTGTGAATCAAGAAAATGAAGAGAAAGAGCTGAAGGAGGCAGCTTCTGGGTTATCACGTCTGTAATCGCGTAAGCCATAGCGACATATGGTGTGCGAATGACTCACGGATGAGCTAAAAAAAAAAGGCATGCCCCGACTTGTACGGGCAGGTTGTTTTTGCCTTTGGGGGATTGTTGACTACGTTACTTTGACGAAGACTGCGAACCTTTCTTCAACTTTACCTCTTTATTAAGATTTAGAGCGCGTGGTTTAAATTTTGGAGCGCACGCTCTCTGACGGCTGATATTGGTAGTATAAGTATAAGCAACATTTCTAAAGCAAAATACATCCAAACTGACAATGACTTTCATGCCACCATCAACTCAAAGTTTCCGAGTGAAAAGACATTTAACTTAGCAATAATTTGAGCAATAATTTGTTTGGATTGCATTTTTTTTTAATTTTTTATAAAAAAAATTACTGTAGTGATTTAATATATATATGTGAAGTAAAAAAAATAATTAAAAAATGTGTCAATAAAAAACATACTCTTAAATTGCATTTCAAATGCACTCTTAAATTGTGATTATTTGAAATATTATCTAGGATAATTAGTGTAATACTTTTTAATAGTGATATATATGAGATAAAAAATAAAAAAAAATTGCAGAACTGTTATACAAGCATAAATGCTTTCCTTAATGATCAAATATCTAAACAGTGCCCTACATTCATAAAAGAGAATTCATGTGCCAAAAGAAAGACAAGAAAAGAAAAGAAAAATCACGTGGATGAATCTAAACAGCACGTGCAGTAAAGTGGTGTATAATTCATGCAAGTCGAATTTGAAGCATAGATGATGAGTGCCTAATTCGTGTGGAATTTAATTTCCGATAAAGTGATGAAAATAAAACAGAAACATTTCCCCCACGCGCTCATGTGGAGCCTGGTGGACTACCGTTCGACATTTTCATAGAGGCAAGCAAGTCAGCATTTTGCTCGCCATAAGCCTTTAAACGCACACGCCGTCGCCGTCACCCTCTTAATGTGACACGGGAAGAAAAATAATGGAAATATGCACATACGAGGTAAGCACTTGCGGCTTCTGAGCTAATCGACGCGGCTAAGGTTCAAGTTCTCAAACGAACCTTCATCTTTCACACTCTCACTCCACTGACTAGGCTTTTCTCTTTGGATTTTTCTAAGGTATTCCACGCATTTAAACTACACCCAATTTATCTAGATGCTTCTTAGATTTAAACTACACCCAATAATCATAATTATTGCACTCTTTAAATTTAGATGCTTTTCTAAATCAATTACTATTTTTTTTAAAAAAAAATTAATCCCTTTTAATCAGCATCTATCGTGCACCCGTTAGTGAAACTTTTTAGCGCATATATCCTTTAAATTAGCACCTATTAATCTTAGTTTAGATTTGTGTTTTATAATTTGAACTTCCCTTTTATTCCCATTCATTTTCACAAGCCACTTAACAAGTACTCACAATTACTCTGATGTTTACTGACGTACGCTTGCTAATATAGTTGTGATCTCACCACCGAGTACAGACTTCCCAACTACAGTACATCAATGGAACTATTGGAACCTCTGCAATAAAAATAAGTAGGCTAAAACTCATCCTCAGGAGTTCAGAGAATATGACTGGGACCAGAAACTTTGTGCCTTCCATCCCAGTTTTCTTTTCTGCAGTGGAATCTAGAAGAATGGAGAGTAGAAATAAAAAGCAAATAGACTAAATAGAATAACGACTTTTGTCAGTCGGGGGCAGCAGCCGATGTACTTGAAATACATAAATAGATGATGCAATACTGGTTATCGTCTTTGCCGGCCTTTGAAGGTTGCTCCGGCAGTTAGGTTTATTTGTCGAAATTCTTACGTTCGTAATAAAATGTCAGGAATACTGGTTATCATCTTTGACGTTTGAACTTTTGAGTTGATGCAAACTGCAATTGTCAGCAGTGATGGATGCATCACCCCTCACGCATCCATTTTTTATTGCAGACTTCGTATTCTTAGTTGGCATTTCTACTATAAATTGAATAGGTTTTCTATTAGTACAACTTCGTAGCACAAATAATCAAGGTAAATTATCTTTTATTCCTATGTGGTTTGGTAATTTATCACATAACCCCCCATAATTTAAAAATTTATATATACCCCCTTCCTGTTTTCAATTCGAGTGTCACCGTTAATTTTTTTGTTAATTTTGTGGTGTTTTTTGTGCTCAAAATTGGCAGCAAATTAGAAGGAGTAAAATTTAGAGTGGCTTAGCAATCAAAGGATCACTGGATGAAAGTTTCCGCCAAGTTGTGCCAAAAAAAAATTTTTTTTTTAAAAATTTGTGTAATTTATTTCACAAAATATATATATATATATATATATATATATATATATATTTTGGTCGACACAGGGTATCTTGGAATCACCTAAACTAATCCCTACGGCTGAGCAGAGCCCGCCTCTTAGGATGCCCAGTGCATTAATTCGGGGAGAGTCGAACTGTGGTCGATGCTGTAAAGACAGACGACACGACCAGGTGAGCTGCACCCTGAAGGGCATTTCACAAAAAAATAGTGGTCATCAAAATTTTGGATATATTTTGTTTCACATGCGTTGAACTCTAAAATATTGCCCATTGGTAGATGCCTAATGTATTATTTCAATATGCTATCTAATGAAGCAAAAAAGAAAAAAGAAAAGAAAGGGAGTGGTTCACTTAGTTTCGAATGTAAGATACTGATACATGCAAACAACAGAATCATCCAACTCTCTGTATCAGTAGTTTTGTTGATTGAACAACAGAATCATCCAACTCTCTCTCTTTTTTTTTTTGCCCTTTCCTGTCTTGTAGATTTTTTATTTTTGGTATAATCCACAGGTCCTGTTTGCAGATACAAGGTGCTATGCACAATCACAGGTCCTCAAATTGCAAAGTAGCTGCCGTACCTTTTTGTTATGTTCCCTCTATTCAGCAAAATACCACCTCAATTTAATCATTTGACTGGACATATATATATATATATATATTAATGCACAGACTACATACCAACCAACAAATTGGAAACGAATTCCAAACAATTGCAAACTTATTAATTCCTTATATTCTGAGTTTTTTCTTGAAAAGATATTCAACAGCTAAAAAACTTTGCAGCAAATTCATTCCGGGCTTTAACAGAACTTCCACCATGATCACGAACCTTTGTGCTATAGTCCAGTCCTGATCCACGATGACTTTCTTTTTCTGCTTTTACTCCCGCAACGATACTATGTTGCCTAATCTCAAGAAATTTGGTCAAAAATCAATTTGCAAATTGCAATCCCAGCATTTTTTTTTTTTAAAAAAAAAATTTGTCAGCTTATCATCTAAATTCAGATCAGACGGGTCCTCAATTATTAAACAAAAATTAGATAAGACTTCATTTACCGTCTCAGTCCATTTTTCTATTGAATTTGGTTGCAAATTTATGAGACCCCCTTTATTCATTTCAGATCAACAATCGGTTCGTTCTAATCTCAAACCTAGAGAACTTTGAGCCCTCATAAAGCTCGAAGGTCAGGAGGCCCATTTTCTTTAAACTGCAGGTTCTGTAGGCCCAATTAAGTCTAAGAAGATAATACTGCACAATTCTCTTGACAAGGTTGATACAAGTAAATGAAGATTATTTCTCATACATCAAGAGCCAACTTATGAACAAATTTATTCAGCAACCGGTTTTTCTGGGAACACATCTTTGCCCCGAATACAGAATAGGAATAACAATGTACAATATTATGATTTGAATAGATCTCAATTGGTTGGCAATTGAACCCTTTTCCTGTATTCTGCTAAAGCCCACAATGGATATATATTCCTGTATGCTGCATAGTGTAACATGCAGTTCTTCATGAAAACTCCAGTGATTTCCTGCAAAGATAAAGTAACATGAACAATAAATAAGTACTCCTGTGCAATTTGCTCATATATCTATCCACCGTATCCTCCGTTCTGGATGTGTTACTTTTCCTTCTTGTACTTAAATTTCTGAGGCATATCTACGTATGAACGTGGAATGGAAACTTTGCAGTGCTTTCCAGCCTTACCTGTTGTGGGAAATCTCCATTTTCCATCTGAGAATTGATCAATAGCTTCGCTGCACGGTGGAGCGGCCTAGGGTCTCTATCCGCCTGTCAAAATGAAATATAACAGGTTATTATGGAAAGACGACCCTGGTATTTATTGAAACTGCATCTAACTTTAACAAGAAACCTACTTGTCCAGAATGAATTAGCCCCATCATTGCCCAGGCTGTGTGCACCAAATTTGATTGTTCTCCCTCGAGAGGAACGTATTTCTGTTTATGAGAAAATATGGTTAAAAGACTTGCCACTTAGCGATTTTCCATTTTTTGTATCATGCTATCAGTTTCATATGCATTACCTTTTCAGGGCAGGACCGATAGCTTTCTCCCCAGCCACCATCATTCCTCTGAGATTTCAGGAGAAATTCAACTGCTTTGCGAACAGCTTGGCAATTGTCATATGTCTTCCCTGCTGCTGCAAGTCCTCCAAGAGCAAACCAGGTGCCGTATGTGAAGCACACGCCCCAATTTCCATACCTGTAAATGACTCTTGTGTTAGATGATTGAAATTACGGGAAGCTACATTACCCACAGTTTAGTAGCCTGAAAGAGGATTATACCATGAACCATCAGGCATCTGAACATCTTCAAGATATTTAGAAGCATTGGTAATGAAACTTTCTATCTCTTTCTTGCGATGTCCAGGGTATAGTTTTTTGAACAGAATAAGAGCATGGATTGCTGATGAAGTGCACTCAACATACCTGCACTCGTTATCATGGATCCTGAATGAGCAAAACTAAGGATGCAGAGTTTGCAGGGAGAAAAAGGGGACAGAGAAATCTTACTCATGCTCAACAACAATGTCAGCGAAGAATTCAGTTGGATTGAGCAGCTGCGAAGACAAACACAGAAAAAGAAATCAATTTACTCCTAAAATTTCAAATTTAAACCACTGTTCTGCTCTTCTTATTATCGAGAAGCTACCTCTAGCCATTTTTGCGCCCCTGCAGGCTCCCATGCTGATAAACCACCATTTTTACTCTGTAAT